TTGATCTTTTTCTTCAAGGAGTCGTCGGCCTTGTGCTCTGTGATCTTTGTCGGCCTGGCCACGAAGCGGGCCTCGGTCTGCCATTCGCGAGCTCGGCGGGCCCAACCGTCGTCGTCGATCTGCTTGACCTTCGGCGGGAAGTTGCTGGTGGCGCAGAAGACGCCCATGGGGCGAAAGCTCCGGGGATTTCTGTAGAGGCCTCTGCCCGTCAGGGGGGCTCCTCCTTGCTCACACAGAGCTTTGAGGAAATCGGTGTCCAAATCGTCGTGCTCCGGCACCTCGGAGCCCCAGATGAAGCGCTTGCCTCTCATCTGGTCGAGCTGCGGCGATGCCGATTCCTTGCCGCTTTTCGCGCCCGCCACGAAGTACCGACCGCTCACGAGGAGCCCGTAGTGCTGCGGCTCGTAGCCCAAGAAGCGGAGAAGGATCAGCATGAGCACGTCCTTGCCGGAGGACCCCGGTCCATGGAGGTAGAGGAGCTCGCAAAGCCGTTCCAGAGCAGCGACGGCGCGGGAGAAGAGGCGCAGTATGTACAGCACCTGCAGCCACGAGCCGTACTTCCTCAGGAGCCTCAACAGAGCAGAGTGAATCTTCAGCTCCTCGAAGGCTTCTGTCACCGCCCTTCCCTCCTGGTTCTGTTCCAAGGTTTGCGCGCCCGTCTTCAGGAACGCCTCGACCTTGGGGAAAACCTCCGTGTCCACGGGGGGCACCCAGGTTGCCGACGTCGCCTCTGCGTGCAAGGACATCCGATCGCTCGGCTGAGCCAGCCGCCGCTCCCCGGTGGCAAAGTCGACCACCACCCCGTCGGAGTAAAGGACTTTCCCGCGAGTCCTGTCACCGTCGAGGGCCGCCATGGTTTGCCCGCTCAGCAAGCCCAACACCTCGTCCACCAGGCTTTTGGTCCAGCAGCTGTCGTTGAGCGGCTCGGGCGGGGTGAAGTGGCCCGCCTGCGCTGGCCGCGTGAGGTTCTTCAAGCTCATCCGGATGAGGGCTCCCATGTCGTCCTTGTGCTT